TGTAAGTGGTGCGCGGCATTCTTAGCTGCGCAAGCGACAAGAGAAATAATCAAATTCAAAACAAATTAATTAAAAAATACTATAAAATATGGCGCCGTGACAAACTCCTGAAAGACAAACTCCTGAAAGACAAACTCCGGAAAGACAAACTCCTGAAAAGACAAACTCCTGAAAAGACAAACTCCTGAAAGACAAACTCCTGACGAGACAAACTCCTGACGAGACAAACTCCTGACGAGACAAACTCCTGAAAATAAAAAATTCTGAAATACAAACTCCATAATATCAAATTAAAAAAAATGTTTCACAATTTATATTTAATCTAGCCGCAGCGCTCGGCCCAGAAAGTGTCAACACTTAACCTAACCCATGGCCGCAGCGGTCGGCCCTCTAGCCTGTCCTAGCTGCAGCGCTCGGCCCAGAAAGTGTCTCAACCTAACCTAACCCTAAATAATAAAAAATAAATAATAATAAATTTGCTGGTTATTCTGATCATTGTAATACTTTGCTGCTAGAAGCATATTCAAATTACTAAAGATTGAGAATTTTTTTCTAGAATATTTGCGGATTTTTCTTCTAAAGTTTATGAATTTTATCAAATTTCATTCAGAGAAAAATTTCATAATTTCAGGAGTTTGTCTTTCAGGAGTTTGTCTCGTCAGGAGTTTGTCTCGTCAGGAGTTTGTCTTTCAGGAGTTTGTCTTTCCGGAGTTTGTCTTTCCGGAGTTTGTCTTTCAGGAGTTTGTCTTTCAGGAGTTTGTCACGGCACCATAAAATATAAACTATATACAAATGTGGCGAAAGATAATCGATGACTATAGGTTGCAATATCTGAATGATTTGTTTGAAATTAAATTGATTTTTTTACGGTCTAAGTCATATGTTGCGATTTTCTGAATTTGTATGGGCGCTAAGTTATTCGGTATGAGAATTTTCTCCTTATAGACGCAACAGATAGAAGTAAGATTATTAGCGATCAAATGCGCTTTTTTATCGCATTAAGCCTATAACCCCTTTCATTTTTCGCGAACACTCCCTTTAAAGGAAATATTTATATTTCTTAACATAGAATATAGAACAGCTTGATTAGTCAACGTGTAATAGTGTTAAAGGGTACTGTTGTGAATCGACAATGTCAGTACATAAATCAAAATACGTCAAATTACTTCTTTAATCGTCACAAACAAACACATTGATTGTCCTTAAACATGAAAATTGAGTATACGATTCCAAGATCACTTGGAGCTTCAAGAACTTTTTATTTCTCGCTAATTGTTATTCATATTTATGTTGGTTGTATTTTTACTAATTGTTTTCTTATTAATTTTTGAAAATAACAACAATTAATTGAAAATGAACTTCAAATATAGAATTTTGATATTTTTAATATTTAATATTCTTGGAACCAGAATAACGAATTATACAGCGTTTTTTTTCATTTACAAGCGTTGCAAGGCTTATAAGATTTTTAAAATGTTGTTTACAGCTTTTTGTTTCATATAAAAAAATTATATTGCATTTGAGAGACTGAACAGATATCGTTGTTTAAATAATGTGCAATGGAAAACAAAATTAAACCAGAAAAGATTGGATTGGGATTGGAAGTGATAAAGAACAATAAACAATTTGTATTATCAAAAAATACCTAAAAAAGGGTGTTAGGAATGAGAAAAATGTCCAGGGAAATCACCAAAAACCGTATACCAGAAAATAAGTGCCAGAAAAGGCGGAAACGATTTGTATCAGAAAAGACATTCATACAAAATATCTGATATGCTTAATTATCTGGTATAAAAAAGAAAGTGTCTGTTAATATCAGAAAATGCGCAATTATCTGGTATCAGAAAACCATAATTTTCTGGTATAAGAAAGACGTGTTTTTATCTAATTAGCAGTGTGAAAAATATCTGGTGTGTTGAAAAAGTGCAAGTATCTGGTATCAGAAAATGCGTAAATATATGGTATCAGATTATCTAATTAGCCTGAAACTACAAGAAGTGTTTAAAGAAAATGCTCCAGCTTTATTTATAGAAAGATACATTACATCTAGATACCCACGTTCTAACTCTGAAGGGAAACATACATTTCATTTGGAAACCATCATTAAAGAACTTTTATATGCAACCATAATAAAAATCACCGCGAAGGGTTTATTTACCAAATTTTTAGATAAAATTGATTTGTTTAAATTCTAGGTTAGAATTGTATAGATTTAAAGTAACTGCTATAATATAGTCCAGTCATATAAACATTAGACAAGTATATAGATACAACATAAACGTAAACAAAGATCCAGGGGAAATGTAGAGATCTGTGAAAATGGGATTAAATGGCGTAAAAAGGTTGAATTTGAAGATAAGCAGATACAGGGCGAGTAAAAAGCTCTCTTATAGTTAAATACTGTTCTGATATTGTGGTTCGATTTTTAAATTGACATTCATGTTTAAATCTACATCTATATGACTGAAAAAATGTCGATCTCGATACAGACAAGATTCGTTTTAGTTAGTTTTACGTGAATAATGAATACCCTCAATCTTCACTGAAAACTGTGATTCATTGGAAGAACAGGACTGATGAGTTTTATATTTATATATTATGTATAGATATTCCAGAAAATTGTACATGATGCATATGGACTATAGACGGTAGCACGGGACAATACGCCAAACAAATCATCTTCTTCTTGTGGAATTATATATTTATCTGCCCCCAAAGGACCCATCCCCTTGTATACGATCTTGGAAAGATGGTAAATGGATAGATAGATAGATGATTGATGACAGAACTATAGACGAGATGGATAGACAGATAGATGGAAAGATAGAAAGACAAGTAGTTGGATAGATCTGAAAGATAAACAAGTAGATGGATAGAAAGATTTGTAGTAATGCCCTACTCCATAACAAGTTCTCGAAACGTATCTATCCAGGTTCAACCCGTCCGCAATCAAAGCTGGCTCTAAATGTCACACAGGGACACAAGCGTAGCTATCCAACAAGCTATTATCAAACAGGACACAACCCACCTGGATCTAAATGCCACACGGGGACACATGCTTAGCTATCCAATAAGCTAATATTAAACCGTGCTCTAAATGCCACACAAGGACACAAGTCTAGCTATCAACAAGCTTTATATATCGATCTCAAATGATGGCACGAACCAACCTGGTTATATATATACGAGTAGATGGATAGAAAGATAGACGAGTAGATTACTCTAGCTGATTGACCTGTAATAACTATGATGATGAGGGAAGAATATTGTTTGCTAGAGCTTTATATTCACTGATCGAGGTAGAGAGATCATAAACATAATAATAACTAGAATAATAATAATAATAATAATAATAATAATAATAATAATAATAATAATAATAATAAAAATAATATAATAATATAAGAAATAATAATAGAATCAAAATCAAGAATGATAATTTAAAAATAACAAAATTAGAGAACAATAATAATTTTCGTTAATAATAACCTAACAAAGCTTGTGTTATCAATTAGTGCCCCTCAATAGTTAAAAATCCTTTCAAGATTAAATTAAATAAGAGATATTCTTTGGCCAAAAGTTGTCTAATATTTTGGCCAAAAATGTCAAATATAATTCTAACTGGCATGTTTAGCAGTATAATGAATTGGTATTTGTCTTGAAGCGTTTTGAAAATTAACCAATTTAATAGCAAAATCTCAAATATGCCAATTCCTAAATATTTGCCAGAATTTTTGCCAAATTTTAAACTAAGAAAGCAATTGTTTTCAAGAAGTAATTTTTATTCCAAAAATGGGATGTTATGCACATTTTGAAAAAGAGAAACATTCCCTTTAAGTTAAAAAGTATGGATAGGAAGATATTGATGAGGAACTGATAAAGTAAAAAGTTTAAAAGAAGAGAAAGAACAAAAGAACATTAGATCGTTTATATTTACTTTCCAAATTTATCTTCAATATATAAACCAGGCTTTAGAACACAATACAATACACACAGATTTAGAAAGCTGTAAAATTATGCATCAATTGTATACAGTAAGAACCAAAAAACTGTGGAATAGGAAGACGACATTAAAGCAATAATTAATTGTATTTGATGTGATTACACAGTAAATACTTCACAATTACAATTGCTGTTTTTGATGTTTATTGCATTATTTAAGGTCATAAATGGAGTCTGAAAGTCGTCTTCCTATTCCAGAGTTTTCTGGTTCTCACTGTAGTCCTGGCCGAGATTTAAGTGTCACAACCCATCAGCCTTCAGTTTTGCATTTTAGGCTTCAGTTTTGCATTTTTAACTAAATCATACTTAATTGCAGACCTAGCCATATAGCTTTTAAATACTTAATTGCATCACTAGACATATAGCTTTTAAAACTGTAAGGTGCTTGTTTCTCACTTTGGGTTAATATGAATGATTGGCAAATTGTTGACAGATTTTTGCTTGAGAGTATGCCAATTTTGATCACTGTAAATCTAGAATCTAGCTCTAAGCTCTAAGGCCGAATTTAAAGAATTTGAACCGCGGTTCAAATATGGTTGGTTCCACTTGAATTTATAATCAGTGTTCTTTAGATTTGAGCCGGTGCTCAATTGGAACCGGTTATTGACTATTTAGCGACGCGGTTCAAATTCTTTAAATTCGGCCTGAGAGCTTTGAGTTCAGCCTTATGTCACATCTAGTTTTGTGTGGTATCTTGGAGGTAAATTTATACTAAACTCGGATAAAAAAGGTCTGCATTAATTTCTAAAAGTATTTATGGTTCATCATTTGACGATATTTTACTTAGTTAAGATTATAAATAGTAAGTTAAATAGTAATAATTTCAATATATTTAACATGATTTGAAAATAAAATATACAACAAAAATATGATAATCACAGTTGCAAACGTTTTTTTCTTCAAGTTTTTGAAAATTGCAGATTTGATAAAAATACATATATTTGCTTTATACTGATAAGACCTGAAATGATAAGAAGCTTGTGTTTAGTTAGTTTAGATACTATTAGTTAAAGCTCAGTTCCCTGGCCTTTTAGTTCGGTTGATCTTTCGTTAGTCCGGTTGATCTTGTATTTCTATTAGACTCGTTGATCTCATTAGTCTGGTTGAACCTGTTATTAGCATGGTGAAAAGGAATCATTTTAAAGTTTTGATTATACTTCTCCTTCTAGTGCTCCTTTCAGGGTAAGATTATAGAAAAAATATAAAATTGATTTTATACCTTAAAAATATTGATTCAACAATTCTGAGAATTAGTTTAGAAATGTGATTTAAGACGGTAACTAATGAATGAATCAATTTATTATTTACCACCTCTAACAAATGAATTTCCACCATTTCAATGAATAATTTAAAATTGATTTTTTTTATTGAACATGTAAAATTTTTTCACAGTCAAATCCACTGCTGAGTTTCTCAATGAAATATTGACTCCAAATGGTTAAAATAAAACTATCAAAAAATTAAAATGTTAAAAAGTTAATAAAGAATTGTTATTTAGATTGGGCTGAGGAAGAAGCAAAGAGAATTGGAAGGAGAAGCATCGTGAAAGATGCTATACATAACTCTCACTAGAAGGGGCTGATTCATCCAGTGTCTTTTCCGTTTTGCCTTCTGCATGAACAGTGTGCTTTTATAGACCTGAGGTCGGCCTAGTGCTTCAAATGAGCTGGAGTTTACAGTAATGTACATGAGAAAATTAGAAAGCGATGTACACAGAATAATCCAAAACATACTATGGATCAGAGCCGGACATTCAAGAGAGTATCGTTGAATGAAACTCCCGAGTTTTCTTTCTGGGATTCTATACATTTGCGTAGTCACTAGTTATTAATGTATGCACTAGAAAATGAGGAAATAATATTTCGTACAAAAAATTTCATTCTACAAACTTGACTTAATCCATTGACCGGGGTTTATGACGATACCCTGTCTTAAATTTCGGACTCAGGGGGCTGGTAGTGGCACTGATAATAGAAAAGTTGTTTCAGTACGAATTAATGGTCAAGCTAGTTGCCTAAAAAAGCAGAATTTCAAAACAAATGAAATGAAAGAAATTATTGATATTTTAGTTTTAGGTTTTCCTCACAAATTTTGACGTGTGATAAACCTCTGAAAATCTTAAATTTCTGAATTATCCTATTTATATTTAGAATGTTATCATATATATACATATACATCTATATTCTATATATATAAAGTTGTAATCTCTGTTAGTGTGTCCGATCATTAGTTGCGAACCTCTTCACTGATTTGTCTCAAATTTTGATTTTGGAACTTGGGTGAACTACAGGAATGTTCTGACTTTAATAGCAAAAATTTAGTCTCACGGTAAAATCTTTCAAGTGCGGGTAAACGGCAGGAGTAACTTTTAGTAACCTTGGCAGCGCTGGGTTCCCAAGCTAGTAGTATATATGTAAATATATGTACGTATATGGTTAGCACCTATAGATTCGAATCTAAAACTTGACATACTGCTCTATAACTTACAATCTTTTATTGGAATAAGCAAAGTATTGAACCAAGTTTCTGCATTATCCTCTTTCTATAGATACACACACATTTCATATTTCATATTTCATATTTTTATTCAACTACAAAGCATAAGAAGTTAAAAATATGCAATCACATTTTACTATGCAGTTTGGACCCGGCTAACCAGAGTAGGTTGTTTTGAGTGGTTGGCCCTAAGTTAGTTAACAATATAATTGGTTACACATATCAAGATGTGTTTTTGGATAGGTAAGAAGTTGATTGAAAGGAAGGAGATTGTCAGGTGATCTGTGGCACGGTGAGATCAGAGGGATTAATGTAGAGATAAATTAAAATTAAAATACAGGGTACAGGGTACAGGGTACAGGGTACAGGGTACAGGGTACAGGGTACAGGGTACAGGGTACAGGGTACACAAATAAACTAATAAAGTTTCAGTTTTTTATTTTTTTTTCTTATATAAAATTTATTCACACAATATTTCGCATTTAAACCTCTCATAATTCTCAAGATAAATATTGATTACTCTTTGTTTAAATATTTTTGCAGAATTAGTTTCTTTAATCTGATAATATAATGAATATAAAGAAGATAAAAAATAAAATTTAGATAAAAACTAAATGTTTAACGACGATTTGAAGATTATTTAAATATAATAAAATAGGGAACCATGGAATGTAAGAAAAGACTAAATAAATTCTGTACAGTCGTCTCTAAAGGTCCTTGTGGGTCACCCTGTATGGCTTTCCTCGACCCTGTACTTCCATTTATCTCAATATATTCCTATCATATCCTCCCCCCTTCTTTTATTTTTCTTTCATATTCAAACTTTTCCATATTTTCCTCAAACACATAGTTTGGATGCCAATATTTCGAAAGGTATTGAACCGCAAAATATCTTAAACCGGGATATAATTTTCCTTTTAATCCCTATACCAGGGTTCAACCAAATCTTAGTAAAGAGTAAAGGTTTTAAAAATATGCCTTGTGCATTGCATTCAAGTTTTATTTTAAAAGCCTCAAATCCCTAAAAGAGGAAGGAAAAGCCAGTCCTAAGGCAGCGAGGTCATTTCCATCCAGAGTTTCTTAAATAGGAAGCTGTCGGAAAACGGCCCAAAGTACCCGAGGAACGTACTTTTCCTTTCTTATATAGGAATAATAAATGTTTCAAAGCAGAGTAAATGCATCATAAGAAAAATATAACAGGGAGGTTTGGGCTCAACTTCCTATTAGAGGGAGAAATCAAGCTAAACTGCCTTTTTAAATCAGGAGTCCTTACGAGGCAATCCAGTTTTGGACGATGGAAATACAGTGCACAACAAATTACGGTCTGATTCAACCGTTTATTTATTGGTATACCATAACATACAGACAACACAACAGACAATTATTTTAAATTGTGGTTTCTCACACAAAAAGTGATCTTCATCATTTAGGAATTGTTAGAATTAAACACTTTTAAGCCAGGAAAAATGTTAATATCTTCCATATTAAAAATCACATAAATGTTTCTTACATTTCCATATTATTGTAATCTGATGAAGGTACCGTTGTGAATCGGGCGGGTTACTCTTTTTTTAAAAATAAAGGGTCACTTGAAATTACGGTTACAGTCCATTTAAATGCAGAAAAACTTCACAGGGAGGGGTCTAATAGGCAAAATATTCATACATTTTAAAAATTGCTTTACTGAAGGGCCCGGCGTTGCCCGTGGACAAAAAAAATTGAAAAAAAGAATATTCAATTTTTTAGCCTATATCACACCCAGGCTACCCATGAGTGTTTACAAAATATTTCAGCCCATTCGGTCCAGCCGTTTTGCCGGCCAGAGGCAAGATATATATTATTGTCTTGTTTTATCATATTATATATGTTTAGAATTTTATATATATCTAAAAATATCAAGTATTTAAGTAAAAAGGTTCTTTACATAAAAAATTGATTTATCTTTCTCACAGAAAGCATATGTTGTATATATTGAGAATGACATAATTGATTTTATGCATACAACAAGCAAGAAAGAACATGAACGGTAGGATTTACAGGATGTCTTGAAGTGCTTATAAAACATTAGTTTTATAAATTTAAAACGATGATTTTGAAATAAATAAAAATTCGGCCATTTTTGTTTGTTGGCCTCAAAAAAGTCTTTCATGCCTTTTTTGTTTTATTTGGAAAAAAAACTGATTCTAGATCTTTATACAATTTTTCTCTCTCTATATATAAGGCTAAAATTTCGCATGACAACTGAGAATATCTCTGAGAGATCAGAGCATTATTTGGGACATAGAGTCGTCGTCGCATATATCAATACAATGAAGACGACTTTAGATTTCAATTTTAATTTATATCAAGATTTTAAACATGGCATGAATACACGTAAACTTGTAATTCGAAAAAAACTTGTTAACAATCAAAACTTAAATAAAAATAATCACCGACCAGTGTATGTTAATGTATCTGGGACAACTTCAAATATTTCGGAAACACTGAAATCCTTTCTGGGACATTTTTGAACATTTTAGAATATTTCTGAGAAATCTAAGAATATATCTGAAAATATTTCGAGGATATCTGAAAATATATTTGGGAAATAAGAGAAATGTTTGGGACATCGGAAAATATGTTTAAAAATCTACGAATATTTCTGGGACAGCTGAAAACATTTCTCGGGCAGAAAACAAATCTGGGACATGTATTACTATTCTGGGGTATCTAAAAACTTTTCTGGGACTTAAAAGAATATTTCTGGGACACCAGGCATTTTTTCGGACATCTGCCATGATTTCTGGGACATCTGAGAACAGAATAGAATTTATTATGTAAACCTGGTATTATGCTAATAAGAGTTGTCGAACCGTACAAATATTCGAGACCTACTCTAAACTTTTTACCCTCTTCTTATCCAATAAATACAAAAATATGTTTTCCTCTATTTATAAACAGAGAACATAAATTTAAAGGATATAAGCGAAATTTCAAATTCCTCTATTTACAATGGTACCCTTGAAACTTTAAAGGGACTGTAAAGGACAATTGAAAGGGGGGATAAAACCTGAGAATCTCAGGCGTTAAACGATACATATATAACATCTATCTGATGTTCCTGTCTCAAGAAATTGATATAAAACTATGTTAAAATTATATGAAAATTCATATATATGCAATTTTGTATAAAAGTAGTAGGTTTAAATAGATCATATTCAGCAAATACGCAAACAATCTGAAAACGACGATATCCCACAGAAACCTGAGAATCTAAGGTTTGCTCCCATGATAAATTATTTAATTTTTATTTGGAATTTTATTAGATATAATTGATAATGGCATAGTTTCTTGCGGCTGAACAGAACTAGAGTTTGCAGCGAACGAAACGTTTCCCGAAAAAATGCGAAAATTTCGCATACCTTTTCGTGAAATTTTGCAATTTTCTCGCGAAAATGAATGAAGCGTTGTTGGAAAAAATACGAAAATTTTGCAAACTTATTTTGTGAAATTTTGCATTTTTTCGCGAAAATGAAAGAAGCGTTGTGGGAAAACGAAGCGAAATTTCGCGAAAATAAAATTTTCGAGAAAAAATATTTTTCCTAAAATTTCGCATTTCCGGGAAATATTTTAGCGAAAATTTTCGCGAAGAAAGCCATAGGTGTTGAAACTGTACTTTATCTTTTTATATGAATTTTCGCACAAATATTGCATTTTTTTTTAAATTCCGAATTTTTAAATTTTAATTTCTTTGCAAAATTTTCGAATTTTTTTTCGCGAAACAGATATTTTGCGAAAATGCTAAATTTACGCAAAACGATTTTTCATTTTCGCTGCAAACCCTAAATATAACCCTGTGTGGATTAAAACATGGCAGTACACCCTAATTGGAAAATAATAAAAGTGCAGAGAAGTACAGTTTCTCTATGCTTCTCTTCCCCCCTCCCTCTTGCTAGAAACAAGGAAAATGGAAACATATAAAGTAGAATCCTGATAGGTTGTGCACCATGCACTATGATACTGGTTTATATTCTGTCGGCTGTGAGGAAAAGATAGCTGTAGATGAGGCCATATTCTGAAGCACTGTCCGAGATGAACTTACATGAATCAAGATTTTTTTTGGAGAAAATATCCACTCTTTACCTAACCTTTCTTATCCCATTTTTCATAATTAAGGCAAAATTCTGACAATGGATATCCTCAGAAATTTCAGACCCCGCTTAGTGCA